CTGTGCATTTGATTGGGTGGCAGTTCATAGGATTTCTGGTATTTTCAGTTCTGTGTTTTTCTTCAGTGCTGATTTTTCCTCCCAGATGTTCCATACGTTGGAAATATGATAAGAACAGTTCTCCAACTGGAAATACAATAAAGTATTCCTCCAACTGACACACTTTCCTGTGCTAGACCAGCAACCCCTCCCCGGGAACTAATCACATGCTCAGTCAGAATGCGAAGGTTTCTCTAGCAGCTTCTTAATTACAGTCTTGACAATAAACAGTAACAAAACAATCACAACACACAATACGGTAGTTGTGGGGTTTGTTGCCTAAGTGGTTAGAAGTTAGAGCAGGGACAGAGAGAAGCACTGAATGACTTTGGGAGCCCAGAAAAACCTTCATGCTCAACGATAAAGATCTATTTAGCGTCCAGTATCATCTACTGCCTGCCTGTCTTATCCACCTATCTAATCAGTCAATCATCTACCTATCATGCATCCATCTACCAACCATCTATCAATTATTCATCATTTATCTATCATTCATATATCTACTCCACCACCTAGCTATCACATGTCTATCTGCCAAGTGCCATTATCTATCAATCTATCATTGACCTATCATCCATCTATAATTTATCTGGAGTGTCACTTCACTTGTATTTTATTAACTAAAGCTTACCTGGGGATCAGGAATGCAAAACAGCCACACTGGCCAGCCTTGCAGACCAGGCAGCAATGATATGCCCCTTTAATCCCAGTAGCCACTCCAGTTGCCATAGAAACTGGGTGGTGCATGACTTTAATCCCCCATGGTGCACATCTTTAATCCAATCCCTAGAGAGGATTATGAAAGGGGAGGAGACAGCTCTCATCTCAGTCCCATTCTGAGATTCCTGGAGGCAGGATGGCCATTTTCAGACTGAGGTCAAGATGAGAAAGAGCCACTGTCTGACTGATTTGCTTCTCGGATCTTCAGGTTGAACCCCATTTCAGCCTCTGAGTTTTTATTAATTGTGCATCAATCATCATCTACCATTCACCCATCTTTCTAATTATCTACCATTTACCTGTCTTTCATCTATGTATCCACCTGTCTATCTATCTGCCTGCTGGCCTGTCTGTTTTCTATCTGAAATAGGCTTTTGTATTTCTTTTCTTTCTTTTTTTACTTTTTTATTATTTATTTATTCATTTATTTATAAAAAAATCCACTTCCTCCCCTCCTCCCAATACCCTCCCATTCCCCCCACTCCCTCTCCTCCTCCCTCTCCAGTCCTAAGAGCAGCCAGGGTTTCCTGCCCTATGGGAAGTTCAAATTCCTCCCTCCTCCCTTCAGGTCTAGGAAGGTGAGCATCCAAACACACTAGGATCCCCAAAAGCCAGTACAGATGAAACAAGACCCAGTGCCATTGTCAATGGCTTCTCAGTCAGCCCCCATGTCAGCCACATTCAGAGAATCTGGTTTGATCACATGCTTGTTCAGTCCCAGTCCAGCTGGCCTTGGTGAGCTCTCATTAGATCAGTCCCCTTGTATCAGTGTTTGTTTTGAGACAGAGTCTCACTCTGTAGTCCAGGCTGGCCTCAAACCCACAGCAATCCTCTTGGCTGAGCCTCTCAGGGGCTGTTATTATGTTACTATAGGGTGAGCTGACATGCTCAGTTAGACATCGCTATTATGTGACAAGTATTGTCTTTAAATGCCTTTAATTGAACAAAGACCCTTAGGACACTCTGGATGTATTGTGATGTAAGAAGATGCATTAAAAAGTTAATAGTAAATGTTGTGTTGGTGTTAAATTAGCGCCATATGATCCCAGTTTGGAATTCTGAGTGATACTTGTTTGTGGTCATCTGTTTCATACTTAGTATTCATTTATAAAAATAGTATGTATTTTTATCAGCACTTAATATCAGTCAAAGCAAACTGAACTGATGGTGATAGAATTGACAGCTTTTTGTTGGGAAAAAAGTAAAATCCGTGTCACTAGATGATTTGTGGGGAAGAGCTATTTTCCTGCTTTTGGCATTTTTTAAGTAAATTGAGTTCTTAAATAAAACATAAAGCTTACTTTTATTTATGAAGATAGTTTCTTTTCTTTCCTTTAGACAAAATTCCTTAAAATGTTTTTTTTCTTCCTTCTTCAGAGAAACTCCAGACAGAGCTGGGTGAGTGAGACCCTCATGCACACCCCTCCCTGGAGGAGGGCAGGGCAAGGAGAGCAGCCAGAAAACCTCCTGAACCCCATGAGAAAGGGAAGCAGGGCTCTCCCAGTGCTGGTTAAGTTGGCATGGGAAGGGTGGTGTGGTTTCCGGCACCCTCACCTCTCGAATCTGCTCACACTGCAAGGTCAACAAAAAACCTTTGTTTAACCACACAACAATCTTAGGATTTGAGTAGCAGTAGATACATCTTATAGTTTAAAACTCTGAGGCATGGACTGACTCAGTGCACAAAGTCAGCCAGATCGGCAGTGATGGAGTGTGATGGAGTATTCATTTTATGCTGAGCACTTTGGTGATAAAATCGTCCCCTTATTGGCGCTCAGCCAAAGCTTTAACTCGTGTTGTCTTCAGGCTAACCAGGCTCTTCCTTACGTAAGGATCTCCAGCGTCCTGAGACCACGAGTCCCACCCTCCTCCAAGGGTGACCCTGAGCCTCAGACCTCCCGTGGAGGGGGGAGCGCTTGCAGGTTCTGAACCTCCCAGGAGGTGTCCATGTTGGTGGAGTTACTTCTCCGTGTTGCTTCATTTAACAGCTTCCTCAAGGGTGATTGGACCTTCCCAGCCCATCCTTGTCCGAGTCGGAGAGAACATAGAAATAACATGTCACCTGTCACCTGAAGCTGACGCTCAGAGCATGGAGGTGAGGTGGGTCCGGTCCCACTACTACCCCGCAGTCCACGTGCATGTGGGCGGGGCCCACTCAGCGGGAGAGCAGATGGCAGAATACAGAGGGAGGACTGTGGTGATGAACGATGCAGTCCACGAGGGAAAGCTGACCCTGCGGATACACGATGCCCGAACTTCAGATGATGGGAAGTACCGGTGCCTTTTCGGAAAAGACAATGTCTACCAGGAGGCCCGTGTGGATGTGCAGGTGATGGGTAAGGATTCCAGGCAGCTCGGGCTTCTCCAGCTTAACACTATTAACTAACATAGGCTAGTTACTGGGAAATATTTCTGCCCCCCAAATATTCACCATGCTCATTCTTTTTCAAGTTTATATTGAACTTTCAGTGTAGTCATCACCATAGATACTGCAAGATCACAACTTCAGGCACACTGGTTTGAAGTTTTTAAACCAACACTTTTTACTATTTCTCTGAGAATTTCAGACCATGTATTTTTATCATATTCACCCCCTAGTCCCTCCACCTAACTCGTCCAAGATCCACCCTCCCTTCTTTACCCCCCCAACTTCCTATCCTCTTTTTTTTTTTATTTAATAACCCATCAACTCCAGTTTATGCTGTCTATACTCGTGGGCTTGGAACCATCGGCTGCGGTGTGGTCAGCCTACCAGGAGTCACAATCACAAGGACTTGTCCCTCCCCTGAAGCCATCCACTGTCCACAGTGCCTCAGCTGGGGTGGGGCTTGTGATCCCCTCCCTCTTCCCTGCTGGAATGCTTGATCTTGTGCAGGTCTTGTGTAGGCAATGACAGCTGCCAAGAGTCCCTGCCTGAGTACAGAGTTCCTGCCACGGTCAGACAGTTTCAGCACAGTGCCCACCCCAAACCTCTGACTCGTACGACTTTTCTCTCTCACCCTTCCATGATGGTCACTTAGCCATGGGCGGCAGAGTGGCAGGAGCGGGATACAGAGTCCCATTTGTGGCTGAGCACCCCACTGACACTCCTTCTCCGCACTTTGACAGTTGTAACTTCTGTCTTAACGACCATCCGTTTCCCAAAGAAACTTCTCTGATGAGGTCTGAGAGCAATGCTAATAATCTAAGGGTACAGAGATAAAGAATTTGGAAAACATTCTGATACTACATTCATTTAGCAAAATAACAAGCTTCACTACCATGAGTTCTTGGCTGGACTGGCAGTACCAGGCATTCTCTGTGGTTTAAAATTTTAGGTATAGAACAATCAGGAAAGCAGGGCTCTCAAGCACCTCCATAAAGCAGCCATGGGTTCCAGAAAATCTGAGAATATTCCCCATAATTTTATGCAAGACTCATTATTTCAATTCTACTGAGATTCTGGGAACTATGTAATTTTCAGGAAGTGTAGCAATTTGAGGACTCAGCTAGATCTACGGCCTACACAGAATTCGTAAAGATTGAGAGTCTTGGTGTGCTCCTCGGACCGCAGACAAAAGTCACCCCAGAACCAGCTCTCCAAGGCCAGCAAGTGCCGTCGGGGACATAGGCTCACATCCTGGCTACCCTTCATATTTCTCTCTGCGAACCCCAGTCTAAATGAGTGAGCAGGGACGTGGAATGCCTGGAGGACTTCTACATCAACTTTCTGTCTCTGCTTTGAGAAACATCTCCTAACTAGTTTCTTCCATGCCGTCCATGTGTCTCCTGTCTGATCAAAGTCACTTTGTTGTCAGGGCAAGGAGGAAAGAGATGGGAGTCCAGGTTACAAAAATAGATATATTGAAAATTTTATTTTCTTACTTCCTGAATCATTCCTCCCAGAAGACTTTGGAATCGTAAACAGGAAAACAGAACAAGAAACCTTGTAGCCAGTTCCAGCTCCCAGGGGGGCATTGGCCCTGAGCTCTGCTATCCTCCCCAAGCCACCCTCACCTCCCCCTCCCTCCCTCCCTCGGGGAAGTTGCTGATCTCTGCCTCCTTGGTCTCTGTCCCCAGCGGTGGGCTCCACCCCGCAGATCACCCAGGAGGTCCTGAAGGATGGAGGCTTGCAGCTGAGATGTACATCAGATGGGTGGTTCCCACGGCCCCAGGTGCAGTGGAGGGACAGAGGCGGAAGGGCTGTGTCATCGGTTTCCGAGGTCTTTCATCAAGGGAGCCAGGGGCTGTTCCAGGTGGAGACGCTCCTGCTGGTCACAAATGGCTCAGTGGTGAATATGACCTGCTCCATCAGCCTCCCTTGGGGCGAGGAGAAAGCTGCATGGTTTTCCCTCTCAGGTTGGTGACTGCATGCCATCCTCTGGCGTGGGAACTAAGTGTCAGATGATCGAGACTGACTCATAGGGCTCTGTGTGTTTTGTTTGAGGGAAGGATTGGTGTGCGCAGGCTGGCCTGGGACTTCTGCCTCCTGCCTCCACACCACGAGTGCTGGGCTTACAAGTGTACGCCCCACACTCAGCCTGCTGCTGCTGCTGCCCCACCTTCTCTTCCTCCTTCTCTTCCTCTTTTTCCTCCTCCTCTTTCTCCTTCTCTTCCTCCTTTTCCTCCTCTTCTTCTTCATCCAATTTTCCTCCTTTTGTCTTCTTTTTCTTCTCTTATTTTTTTCTTCTCTTTCATAGAGTAGATTTTTAACAAATCTTTTAAAAATAAATGTATGTCATTTGCAAAGTTTGTCCTCAAGTCACGCAAGAACAACATTCCTTGAGACTCTCTCTCTCTCTCTCTCTCTCTCTCTCTCTCTCTCTCTCTCTCTGTTGTGGATATTTTCTGCACTTCAAATTGATTCTCCTCAAAATTCTTGTGGTTACAGCCTGGGAGACTTTATGTTGTATCACGATAGTTCCGTCACTGATCCTGTGATGTAGAGCTGTAACTGGAAAAAGGAGAAGGAAAATGGGGCGGAGGGGTGGGGGCACCAAAGCTAAATTTGCTTCTCTTGGCTTCTGGGAGACAGGAGAGACCCAGTCCTCAGGCTGCACCTGTGAAAGGGCCATCTTCATAGTTTCCTAGTCTCATGACTTACTGGGGGTTGCATTTCAGACTCCAAGATAGCTTTGTTATGGATGGCCCTGCCTGTTCTGGTGCTGCCTCTTGCCATGGCTATTGATCTGTTGAAGGTGAAGCGCCATCGGAAAGGTAATTGGGTGACTAGGGCTGGGCAGGTACTAACTGCTGGGTCGCAAGAGTCCTTGGCTTATGTTCACATCATCAAGGCTCAGTGAAGAGTGAGCTTGGAGCTCACAGATACGACAGCAATGGGGTTAAAACACAAGGACTTGGGGGCTCAGTCAAATATGGGGCTCCCTTGGATCTGAATTTGCATACCTAATCTGGTAGTTGTACCTGGATTTGCATACCTGCTCTGATAATTGGATGTGGATTTGCATACCTGTTCTTGTATTTGGGGTCTTGATGACTTCACTCTTTCAGTCATATCTGACCTTGTAGTGACAATGATGTCATCCTCAGCACAGAAGGAGAGAAAAGGAACCAGATAGAGGTTAGGAAAGAGCCAGAGAGATGGCTTGGAAGTTAAGAAAGAGCACTGACAGCCCTTGCAGAGGACCTGAGATCAGTTCCCAGCACCCACGTGGTGGCTCACAGCCATCTTTAACTCCAGTTCCAAGGCAATAAATGCCTTCTGGCCTCTGCAGGTACCAGACATGCTGTCGTTTACAGACATACACGCAGGCAAAATATTCATAGACATAAAATTATAAATATAAATAAATTTTAGGAAGAAGTTGGAAGAGGAGACAAAGACGGGCAGTGGGAAAGAAGAAAGACAACAAAGTATAGTTTCATCTGGGTAAGAAAATGCCACAATGGAGCCGTCACTGTGCGCTAACTACTCAGGGCTAGAGAGATGCCTCAGGGGTTTAGAGCACTAGCTGCTCTTGCAGAGGACCCAGCAGCTACATGGCAGCTCCCAAGTGTCTGTAACTCCAATTCTAGTAGAGTTGTTCAGCCTCAGGCTTCTTGCACTGCCTTGCCAATACCCAACCATAATTCCCTGCTCTCAGCCGGTATCCCGCCCCCACTGCCAAGCGGGAAAGCTCTGATACGCTAATTCCTTCAGTCAGGTGAACTAAACCCTATCTGGTCCTCAACTTCTGGGACTCTGTCTCTCCGTTAGCCGACAAATTACTCAAATCAGTCACAGAACTTTCTTGTAAACCAGGGGCGTCTCACCTTCCAGTCCCACAGAGCTGCCTCCTGAGGCTCTTGTTGGTCCCTCGGCCCCCAGGTGCTTCCAGTGGCCCAGGCCTTAGACCATGTCCTCACACCCCAGACCATGAGTGCGGGTGACTAACAGTGTGTCCACTGCTGGTGTCGAGCATTTGATCTGACTTAGCTATGTTTCATGGAGGACCCCTCTCACCAAAAACATGAACATGCAGAGATTAAGGCAGAACATTGACAACAATGGCAGAAGCCCAGTCATGGTGTTTGATTGGGAGGAGGGGGACACCTTGCTGATACAATGACTTCCTTTGCACTGAAAAGGAAGAACGCCTGTAAGACCTCAAGTGCACAGCATGGGCTGGATGGCCTCTTCCACCATAAGGAGAGAGGGGAGGGCTCCCCAAGTGCACAGCATGGGCTGGACGGCCCCTTCTACCATAAGGCAGAGAGAGGGGAGCTCTGCAAGCTCTTCCTACTGTTTCTATAGCAGCAAAGCCAAAATCGTTTTTCAGGGCAGAAGGCTCACATTTATTTCTAGTTTGCATCATTACTTATTGACTTGCCTCTTCTATTACCTAGATCCATAAACATATCTTAATTAAAAATTATGTGGTTTTTTCCCCACACCCCGTCATTTTTCTCTATGCTGTATCCTACTGTGCAATTTTCTTTATTTCTTTTTTATTGTATTTCTTTTTTATTTATTTTTATTGAGCTCTACATTTTTCTCTGCTCCCATCCCTGCCTCTCCTTTCTCCTCCAACCCTCTCCCAAGGTTCCACCTACTGTGTAATTTTCTGTAAGGCTTCAGGGCTCCATGGTTTGTCAGTATTCATCTCAGTCCTACACATGGCCAGAAGCCCCCAGACACCGCTCTGTCTACTCCAGCGTTACCTCTCCTCTCTCTATCTTCGCCCATGGCGTTCTGTAATCTCCTCCTCTCCTGTGTTTCCTTCCAGACCAGAAACACCACAACAATCAGCAACATCTCAAAGACTGACAGAAGCCACACAAGGACTTCCCTCTGACAAGAGGCTCTGATTTAAAAAAAAAAAAATGCACCACGAAGTAGGGGAGCACCACACAAGCCAGGTGCACCCCACTTTCTGAATACCCCATCTTTCCCTTCAATGAGCCTCACCTGCTGTTGTCCAAAGGGTTCTTCATGGAGCAGGACCCATTCCTGTTGCTCACAGTGAGGGATCCCTCTGCCGGAGTCAGCCCATCATCATCTTGGCACAGTGATGGCATCTTCCTCCCTTTGCGTCCTTCTGCTGTCCCTCAGGCTGGGGACCACCCTCACCTGTGCACAGCCATTTTATGCCATCGCCTTCTGGACCCGTCGTGAGGACATAAGAAGGGGAACCCAGATCTGGAGAGAAATACCACTTGTCTCAGACCGGGGGTTTTTCTAGAAATGTCTGATCCAGAAGCTCCAGAGGGACAAAGCCCTTCGCCTGCAGGTGGGGGAGAGGGTTTCTTTTCTTTTTCCATGAGATGAAGGACCTGACTGAGTCATGGTCACAGAAGACCCAGCACCTACACTACAGATCAGAGCAGGGGCTGGAGAAGTAGCTCAGCGGTTAAGAGCACTGACTGTTCTTGCAGAGGACCTGAGTTTGATTCCCAGCACTCATATGGCAGCTCACAACTGTCTGTAACTCCAGGTCCAGGGGATCTGATGTCCTTTTCTAGCCTCTGAGGGCAGCAGGCACACACCTGATGCACAGACACACATGCAGACAAAACATCTATACAAATAAAATAAATAATATTTTTTTTAAAATAAAATATTAGACTAAAACCTGCCATGTGGTCTCTATCCAAGTGTGTCTGCAGCTGGGCAGACAGAAAGGAGTCAGAAAAAAATGCTAATATTTAAATCCCTCATAAGGTATTTTATACCTATCTATGCCATGTATTGGTATACCAAAGAACATGATAACTTCCCTGCCTAAAACAGGGTTTCCTATAGTAACTTCTTAAACAATCTGTCTTAGTCACTGTTGTATTGCTGTGAAGAGACACCATGACCAAGGTAACTTATAAAAGAAAGCATTTCATCCGGGGCTCATGGTTCCAGGGGGTGAGTCCATGACCATCATGACTGGAGGGAACATGCTGGCAGACAGGCAGGCATGGCGCTTGAGCAGCAGCTCGGAGCTTACGTCTGATCCTCAAGGATGACGCAGAGAAGGCTAACTAGGAGCAGCTTGCACTTTTGACTCCTCAAGGCCCAGCCGTGCCAGGGACACACTTGCTCCCACAAGGCCACTCCTCCTAATCCTCCTAAACAGTTCCACCCATTGGGGACTAAGCACTCAAGCATATGAAGAGGAAAGGCAGAGACGCAGTCACAAGTCAGCCACAGAGAAAGATGAGAATGCCTTACTGAGAAAAGGTACCAAATCACGTGGCTAACCATAGATAAGAATTATGGGTTCATTTAGGTTGTAAGAGCTAATTAGTAAAAAGTCTGAGCAAAAGGCCAGACAGTTTATAATTAATATAAGCCTCTGTGTGCTTATTTGGGACTGAACGGCTGGCTTCAGGACCAGGTGAGACAGAAACTTCCATCGACAAGCACCCACATAAAAACCGCAATGCCAGGATGCAGGAAGGACCCAGCATCCCCCAAATAACAGACATGCTGATTTTAAGAGCCTATGAGTTTGTCTTTAAATCTCATAAGCTCTCCTGGGGTCACTCCCTCACTTCTTGGATGGAGGAACCATCATGAAACTTTTCTGCCTCATTTTTTAGCTGAAAATTATAATCCCTCCAGTAATATTTGTCACCATGCTATGGCCAGTTTAGGAGGACAAAGTTCTGGACAACAGCAAGCCCTCCATGGCACAGTCTGCCTTCCCAGAGTTGCCCGAGGAGCGCTGCCACATACTCTTAGGAATATGGAAATGAATGTGCACTTGAACTTGGTCCTAAGTGAAGTGGAACAGATCCAAGCCGAAGAGGCAAAAACCAACTCTAAGTAGACTTCGGCCTCCTGGAAGGACACGGCCATGGGAGTCCAAAGTAGAAGCAAGAATGCTTGCATGGCCATAAAAAAGAACAGGAAAGGATGCCCAGAGAGCAGATGGAAGATAAGCGTGAATATTAACTAACCAACCAGACTAAGTGAGACAAAGATAAGCCATTATACAACCCACCACCTGCTTCTAAAGGTCAGACTTGGCCACATACTCCGCGCTCAGCCACCTGAGAAAGATAATGGCGTCTGCTGTGATAGATAATCAAGAGGAGTTCTGAGATTGTCGGAGACCTCTGACCCCTTCCTGAGATGTACACTCTTTCACCACCGGGCGGACTTGATGTCTTCCTATTAAATATGCAATAAAGAAGATCGGTAAAGAGCACGGAGGAGGGGGTGGATGCAAAGTCCCACCCCTAGCCGAGGATCAGTGGGCATTTGATAGCCTCTGGGAGAAGGAGGATCGGTGCTCTTTAATAGTGTGATCCTTGGCTTATTGACCACACTACCGGGCAGGCCCTGCTTCCCAGTGTAGTCGGGTCTGGGAGGAAGAGAACACGAGGAGTAAGGAGATCAGGGTAGAGCTAGGAGGAGTCGGGGAAGGGGAGTGGATATGATCACGATGCATCATATAAATTCTCATAGATTAATAAAAACATTGTTTTTAAAAGGAAGATAACTTTACCTTATAAATTGTATATTTCTCTTTGATTTATATGTGTTCCAGGCATATTTAGACCTTGAAGGCACTGCAAATACATTTGACTATTATGTATTTTTCCTTTAAAATAATCTTCTGTTCTTTTCCATACTTAAAATATTTGCAAAAGAAATTAAAAGAAATATTTTGCTAACCTATGCCGTCAGTATTTTTGTATATCAAAATGGTTCTCCCATCTCCTTTTCATTTAAAAAAATTCTGTGAAGGACTGGGTGTGGTGGTGCAGACCTTCAGGCAGGCAAATCTCTGTGAGTTCAAGATCAGCTTGACCTATATGGCAAGTTCCAGGACATAGGAGGCCCTGTCTCATAAAAGTAAAATTCTTCAATAAAGATTAATGGGGGAAAAAAGATGGACAAAATGAACCATGTCAGGCAGCATCAACTGAAGATGAGGCTGACCTCAAGTGAGAGGGCCCATCTGTTTGTCTTTGGAGCAATGAATTGAAATAAAGTACCTCATTTTAAAATAGACTTGTAAAAACTTGTATGAACCAGGCAGTGATGGCCCATGCCTTTAATCCCAGCCCATGGGAGGCTGAGGCAGGGGATCTCTGAGTTCAAGGCCAGCCTGGTCTACAGAGTGACTTCCAGGACAGCCAGGGCTACATAGAGAAACGCTGACTCAAAACAAAACAAAAACAAGTAAACAAAAAGAAAAAACTTAAACCTAAACCCTAGTTCAATTTCGAAGTACAGCCTAATGAATGTATCAATTTATCAAGACCATTTAGTCAAATCCAGCATCCAAGATCTTGGCCATCTCCAAACGTGTCTACCTCTTTCACTAACATATGCTGGGTGTTTTTGTTGTTGTTGTTCGTTTGTTTGTGTTTTGTTTTGTTTTTCTGTCTTGACAAAAGTTAAGGTCATCTGGGAAGAGGGAACTCAGCTGAGAAAAAACACCTCCATCAGATTGTCCTGCAGTTGAAGGGCGCGGGGATATAGGAATATGAAATTATAAACTTAGAGAAATGAGACTGGCAGCAGCTTTGTCAGCAGCCAAGGGTCAACTTTAACATAACCCTCCTGCCCCTTACAGCCCACAATTGCAGTGGGCAGAGGTTACCCTTTAGTAAGTTGCTCCAGCGTGACTTTCGGTTTCACATTGTTTCCAAACCTCCACTGCAGGCTGTGCTAGGAAGAGCTGTGAAGTTCCTTGTAAACACCATTAGCTATGTCAATAAAGCTGCAGAATTTTTATAAACACCGTTGAGCCAAAACCTTGTAAATGAACATTGTAAAATGCAATATGTCTCTAAACTAACCTCAAAAATGTAAAAATTCCATTGTCCGTACCTAATGCTTACTTCCTGCTATAAAAAGGGGCCCAATTTCAGAAGCCCGAACTCTGGCTGTGGTCTCAGCTAGCTGATAAACCTTTTGTGCCCTGGGGTGATTCTCCCACCCCACCCCCACCCCCCAATAAAGTTTGCTCCTGGTTTCATAGACTTCGGTGGTCTGTCTTCCATTTTCTGCCTCCAGACAGAACAGCAGTCACTCTGAGGGGCATTTTCATGGTTAATGATTGACGTAGGAGAGCCCAGCCTATTGTGGGTGGTGCCATCCCTGGGCAGGTGGTCCTGAGTTACACCACTCCCCCATGGCTTGCTCAGTCTGCTGAGCCACAGAGAGTAAGCCAGGAAGCAGCTATTTCTCCCATTCCTTTGTGGCCCCAGCTTCAGTTCCTACCTCCAAGTTCTGGTCTTGAGTTTCTATTCTGACTTTATGTGATCTGCAGGGTTAAATAACCCCACGTCCACAAAACGCAGCAGGATGCTTACCTCTCCTCTAAAACTTTCTTCACCCTCAGCTACCCGCGATCACCTTTAGCTGACAGTGGCATCCTCAACGTCTTCACCTTTTCTGAAGAAACACTTGCATGGCTGCTTGCTGTCCCCCAGAAGCGTAATCTTTCAGTATCTCCCTCCTCCCTTTGAAGTTTACGGGTTGTTTATCCCATCCAGACACACCCACACACAGCCTCTGAGAAGGGGGATCGATACCATCCCAGCTCCATCCTTGACACCCATGAGGGGGCACACAGCAGGAGAGTGTGCTTGTGTGCACCCACCATGGCGATATGACCCGAGAGAACCATCACTGCTAAGGAATCTATGGGATAAAACCAGAGTGGAAAATGTGTCACGACAACATACCTGGAGCCTTCAGAGTGCAGCATCATCAGTGCCCAGAGACCCAGGACAGGCTGATACTCCGTGGGGTTTTACCGCAGACAGGCTGGTCTCACATAAAGCAAATGATTTCTTGATTGCAATGGTGATGTACTCTTGGCAGGGGGTGTGAGAAGAGGGCTGGGAAATCGTGAAAACACATTCCTTAATGAAGTTCTATTTACCCTGATGTGCAACTCAATAAATCATTACACTAGGTGAGGATTTAGAATTAACCGAGGCGTCTTTGCAAACTTGCCTTGTGTCTTAATCCTTCTAGGCAGAAAATAGAGGAACCAGGTCTAGAAACGCAGTAGGCTTTAACTGGAGCCCCACGTGGAAGCAGAAGCAGGGTGGAGAAGAGGTCCCTTGGCAGAGAGAAGGACAGGGAATTCACCATCATTCCTAGTGTGGTCCAGAGGGAGGCCCTGCAAACACTGGGGAACTGACACAAAGACTGTCAAGGTAAGGGGTGTGGCTAAGGGGTTCATGGTAGTGCTAAGAAATGGTCTCCTGGGTTCTCAGACAACTGGGGTGTCTTTCCCAAAGAAATGCCAGGGACACCTTTGTCATTTACTCAAAGACCTTTTCCAGAGACAGCCCTGAACAGGCCCTTGGTCTCGCTCATCCCTCCACGGAGAGAACACGTTATCCACAGACGAAGGGAGGGAAGACAAGAGGCAAACAGAGAGAAATGGCGATTTCAAGCTCGGCTCAATCTCCTTGCATTTTCTCCCACACTCTTGTTTGACAAAGGATTCTGTTTGTCCTCTATCCGTCCCCAGAATCCACGCTGTGCTCCTCTCACCACCTGCCCGTCATCTAGGAGAGGCTCCTGTGAGGCTCACATGATCTAAGTTCTCACTACCTCAGAGAGGGAGCCAGACAGGTTAATCCTGCCCTGCCTCCCAGCTCGCCTTCTCCTGGGTATCTGCAGGGCTCTCTGTAAGCCTTGCTCGAGATGCTTCGGGAGTTTGAGGGTCTGGGAGGAAGCCTTAGGTGGACATTTAAGGGGTTCAGAAAGCTGGAGGCAAGACGGTTCCTCCCAGGAAACTTCGGGAGTTTCAAAACCATAGGTAAAATAAGATTAGAAAAGAGAACTTCAACGCAGACATAGCGCTGAATCACATGGTTATGAGGGGCAGCCAAGAGCGGGAGCAACTGAATTCTTTCTAAACCATATGTGTCTAGTGACATGTGTCTTGGAATCCTAGAACCTGATGGTTGAGTTAATCTGATATTATTGTTTATGCTTAGGAATTTGATGTGATCTATAGAACTGCTTGGATGCCTTTATTTCCTAATCTGACAGTGGTTTGAATGGTAATCCTTAGCCTCAATTTTTTGAAATTATCTAAACTAACCTATGGGAAGCAAGGGTGTCTATAACACACTCCTTTAGCCATGTGCTAGCAAGTTCTCTCATGTCTTCTCCACACACATGAATTTCTCTGATGCTTTGATACATTGTCATCTCTTGGTCAGTTCTCTCATTCATTTAAAAAAAAAGAATTCAAGAGATGTGAATATGTTTCAACTTTCTGATTCTCATTCCCCCAAATTTCCTCTGTGGACATTGATTAAATCCGCCTGATCCAACTGGAGTTACACATCATGGACAACTGGGCCCTTCTATCTCACTCCCGTGTCGTGAGTAAGGAGAGAAAAGCTTGCTGTCCTTCAAGCCTGTGAATTCCAGACCAACTATGTTCCTGCTCACAATGACAGAAAGACTCAAGTAAGTCATAATTAGGCTGGAGGGAGGGCTCAGGGGCTAAAGTCACATACTACTCCAGGGGACCAGAGTTCAATTCCCAGCACCCACATCAGGAAGCTCACAACTACCTGTAACTACAGTTCCATGGGCTCTGATGTGCTGGAGAACCTCCGTCAGCCAATGACCTATAAGAGGCTGGAAAAGGTTAGGGTGTGACCTTTTGGGTACCCAGAGAAAACCACCCACCTGCCCAGCTCGTTCTCTCTCTCTCTCTCTCTCTCTCTCTCTCTCTCTCTCTCTCTCAGTTATCTTGGGATTATTTGACTTGTGCCCCCCCCTTTAACATGTTTAGTAACACTGATGGCCTCTTCTGGTCTCCAGGGGCACCTGTACGCATGTGCACAAACACACAAACTCAGAGAAAAAGAGAAAGAAATGCAACCCACACATAATTAAAAATAAAATAATTATTTTAAAAGGAAGAACAAAAACACTAATTTATATCCTTGAAATTCTAGATCAAAGGTTGTTCAAGCAGGTCATAAGAGACACAAGAGTGAGACAAGTACAGACAGACATTATCTAACAAAACTGTATATATCACGAAGCTAAGTTAAAAATGAAAAATGAGCTTTCAGAAGAAATTATTTGGAGAAAATGGCTCCCTTGATGATGGAGATATTCACTAAGATCGTGTGACTTTCAGCGGTTGCTAAGAGATGACAATATACAGTAGAGTATGAGATGCAAAATTGGGGGCTGGAGAGATGCCTAGGTGCTTAGGAGCATGGGCTGCTCATGCAGAGGACCCCGGTTTAGTTTCCAGCACCCACATGACAGCTCACAACTGCCTGTAACGCTGGATCTGGGCATCTGACATCCCCTTCTGTCCTCCATGGGCTCTGCACACATGCAGTGCACACATGTATGCAGACAAAATACCCACACACATGAAATACATTTTTGAAATGCAAATCTATTGAGAGTTGACAGAGCCTTTCTGTCATTTGTTTTTGTTTGAGGCATGGTCTTCTGTAGTTCATGTACTAAGGCTCAACACTGTCAGAGGTTAGTCATGGAGTAGGGGGAGAAGCATGCTTGACTTCATCTCTAAATCAGCTAACCATGTGAGTGACCCTCAGATTTGAACATCGGACCTGGTTGCCTCTCCTTAATAGTGTAGGAGGCAGCTTAGAGTGAGAAGTCTCCAGAGCAATCTACAGCTGCTTACTCTATGGCTCAGCCCAGTATAAAGTCCTCTGGATGATTTAATTCCATTCCTAAAGTAACTGAAGAGCTGGGGATGGCTATGGCTTCTGCCTAGACTCCTCTAAAGCCAGAGCCCGGGGGAAAAGCCTGTGTGGCCTCCATCTCTGAAAATCCAACACCCTGGCCCCAGCCACACCCTTGAGTAGTGGCCACAGTAACACAGGTGCAGACGGTCTCCAGGGCCAGGCTTTGGGTCAATGAGGATCCCAGGAGTTTCCAGGAACCCACAGCTCTGTCCAGACAGTGAGCGAGGAGTTTGTGCCTGTGAGCATGTCTGTCCAAGGGAGGTGTGGGCCTGAAGAAAGGGGGATGGAAGTCATGAGGATGTAGTGAGAAATAGTACCTTCATTGGGAAATAAGTGAATAAACAAATAAAAGAATAAGTAAACAAAAGAAGAGTGAAGACAGGCCTGATATGGGAGTGGTCTACTTCCTTGCGTGACTCCACCCCACCACACTGAACTCAGGGAATCCAGCTCCAAGTTCCCCTGTGAGACCATGGACCCACAGAAAGGCAAGAGAGTCCTCCTGCCCCAGCACAGAAAATGCTTGGCCATTTCCCACGCCCATGAGGAAACTGTTGGCCTTTAGAATAAAGGATCTGAAAGGCCTTAGGGAGGGGCGAGATTGGTGGGTTTTGTCTTAAGGGTTTTATAGGAGACAGAGTTAGAAACCTGAGAATAACGTTAAGTCTTTGAATGGGGGGGTTTCCTGAAACCTCCCCCCTGTTGTCTTCCTACAGGTGAACCGGCCTTGTCCTTCCCCCCTGGAGATGAAGGCTCTCCAGCCATCCCTCAAGCTGCCTGTCTGTTCCCTCTGCTCCTCCTGGTGTCCACCGGAGTCTCAGGAGGTCAGCATTCTGCCTTCTGTCCTTTACTTACTGCCTTGTTTTTAATGGCTTCTCTCAAGTCAATGCAATCACTCGGCCAAGAAAATGTCCTCTCCAAACCTTTGGGCAGTTTTTATAAAACTCAGAACTGTGACATCTACCTGAACCTTCGCTGGATGTGGGTGACTTGAGCCTGTTGAGGCCTCTGCTGTCTGTTTGCTGAGATCCTTCCTGAGAGTCACAGCATGTGTCCGTCTCCTCCTTGCTGCAGCCAGCTGCCAGACAAGAAGTAGCTTAAAGGGGAGGTAGTTAGTTTAACCTATGGTTTGAGGGTTTGGACCACTGTGACAGGGAAGGCATGCACGAGGGTTATGTGTGCATAACAGAGCAAAGAGTTTGGATTCAGAATTCTTGGTTGTGACCTTGAATAAATCTCTTATTCTCTCTGGGACACTGGCCTTTCCTTCATAAAGAAGAAGCACCCTCTAGATGAAGTCCCCAGACTCTGGAACTTAGAAAGGAGATCATGTGAATGGCATAGTTGGGTATTATCTCCTGAATCTGATGTGGTAAATAAAAAAAATCAAAATGAAACCCAGGGCTGCACATGCCAGACAACTGGTCTACTGCTGTGGGAGCTCCTTCAGCCAATAGCCTTTGAGATTACCCCCAAAGTGGGCTGATACCTTAAAAGCTATTGGCTGAGGGAGTTCCCACAGCACCTCCCTATTTTGTTTAACTATCAAACACATGCTAGACAACTGGTCTACCATCAAACACTAATGTCCATAAATACTGATTCAAATTTCTGTAAGTCTTTGTATAAAAACACTTGTTGAGGAGGATCTGTGTATGTATAGATGTATGTATTCACGTGTGTACACATGTGTGTATGTGTATATGTATATGCATATGTGTAAAGTTATCACAACATTGTTTATAGTAATAAGGTGGAAGTGCTATAAATGTTACCAACTAGGAGAAGCTTGACCAGTCTATAATGGTATAGACTGTTAAAAATAAATGAATAGGGTATAACTGACCATATGTACTAAAACAGTTGAGAGTGGACCTCAGGCTCTGAAGGGTAGCCTCAAACCACAGCCCACACCTTCACACCCTGCTCTTCACTATCCCATGCTTCTCCCACACTCTTCTTCCAGAGGATGCTGCTGCCTCTCTGGCACCTTGTTCTCTTCCTATGAATTGGTCAAGAACCTGCTTCAGAAGAAGCCCCAAGACACCTTAAACTCCCACGGCACCTTATCAGTTTACAGTGGCAACCATGCTCATCTCCTTAATTATGTGGCCCCTAAGGGAAAGTCAACCCTACTTCATTTAGCTACTCTTCAGATTCAGGGTGGCTGAGACCCAGTTTGATGGATTTCTCACGAACCTTCCCTCTCTTTCAGATGACCTCAAGGATGACTTGGGTGAGTGTGACTTCTCCTCCCTCTCTGTAGCATTTGCTTCTCTTTATCACCACTCTGGCTGGCCGTTCACCGAATGTTATTTCTTTCAGATCAGCGATCAGCAGAAGGCACTGTACAGAAAAGGTAAGAGACCAGGCGTCCTGCACCCAGAGGCCCTGATGCCAACTCCCCCTTAGTACCCTCGTGAGGTGGGGATGAAGGAACTGAAGGGTTTAAGGATGACTGGTGTGGAAAGTTGAGGGGGAAAGGGGGAAGTGTGAGGCCACAGGTCAGTACTCAGCTGTCTCGGGTCTGTTCTATTGCAGATTGGAAGAAAGCCCTGCTGTACCCTGGTAAGTACTCCGTGGGTGTTGAGTCTTGCCAGCAGCTCTAAAACAATGGGCATCCTATCTGAAAACTTAAACACACGTCTCACACATACACACTTTAATGGCTGTCAACTTTCAAATTGAAACAACAACAACAACTTTTTTGAGACAGAGCCTCTCACAACCAAGGCTGGATCACATGCTGTGTAGTTAAGCCTGGGTGTGAGCGCCTAGACCTCCTCCCTCCACCTCCCAAATGCTAGGATTTCAGGTGTGCATCACTGTGTCCAGCAAGTTGTGATCACTTATGTCGGGGATTCAAACAATCAGTTATTGTCTATAGCTAAGAAAAAAGAAGAGATAACTATTGTGTGCGTATGTTTATGTGATGTGTGCATGAGTGTGTATGTGTACACATGTGTGTGATGTGTGTGCATATGTGAGTATGTGCATGTGATGTGTGTGTGCATGTATGTGTGTGATGTGTGCCTGAATGTGTATGAGGTGTGTGTGACTGAGTGTATGTATGATGTGAGTATATATATATCATGTGTCTGAGTATGTGTGAGTGTGTGTGTGTGTGTGTGTGTGTGTGTGTGTGTGCAGTGTGGAGTTCACAAACACACTAGGCTATTCCTTGATCTCATCTGTGCAATTTCCATACATCAGACATTATAACACATGCATGGGGCACAGCTGTCATCTCTGACCCTGTGGAAGTTAAAAGTCCCCAAGAAACATAAGTTAGAAACCAGTCTGTTACAGGTCGCCTAAGTGCTTGGAGGAGGTGACAGACAGGTGGGCCCCCCAGGATAACAGACAGTTTATAAACAGCTTCTGCTGAGACTTCAAAGATTTGTTCTAAGATGTTCCAGCAGAGCTGGCGAGACACCTCAGGGGCTGGGGAGAGGCCTCAGGGGATGGGGAGATGCTTCAGGGGCTGAGGAGAAGCCTTGGGCTGGGGAGATGCTTCAGGGGCTGGGGAGAAGATTCAGAGGCTGAGGAGAAGCCTCAGGGGCTGGGGAGATGCTTCAGGGGCTGAGGAGAAGCCTCAGGGGCTGGGGAGATGCTTTGGAGGCTGAGGAAAAGCCTCAGGGGCTAAGGAGATGCTTCAGGGGCTGAGGAGAAGCCTCAGGGCCTGGGGAGATGCTTCAGAGGCTGAGGAGAAGCCTCAGTAGCAATGGTTACTCTTGCAAAGAACTCGAGTTCAGTTCCCAGGGCTTATATATGGTGGCTCACAACAATTCTCATTTACCCACCGCCACCCTCATCGCTACCCCACCTTCATCTTCATTCCATCCTCACTCACACCCATCCCCACTGTGTCTCACCACCCTCACCTGCATCTCCACCCTCATTCCACCCCCAGCATTGAGTTCCTGAGTCAGCACAGAGAGCCACCCGCCTGCGGGAGTTTCTGGACACTAGAAAGTCCGAGGGACTTAGTGTGGCAGCCGTGGGAGGAGAAAGCCCTGGGTCTCTTTCGGTTCCTGGAGTGCAGCTCTACCATCCACCTGTCTGCTCTGCTCTCTTTCAGACTGGAGGAAGGAACTGTTCCAGCTGGGTGAGTCGGTTTGCTCTTGCTTGCTTCCACCTCTGAGGTCGCTCCTGTGGTTTCATTTCTCATTTTGGAGATGAGTGTCAAGCCGTGCACGTGCCAGACAAACTGCTGAGCACTCCGGCCTCCAGTTTGCCCTCTGGCGTCTTGTGTGATCTTCCTAACAGACAGACATGTTTTTTGGGTTGAGAATGGGGAGGAGAGGAAGGGACCCTGCCGTGTGACCCTGTGCTGCAAGCCACTGCCAGGTTCAGTCACGCTGGTTCTGTCCCCTTCTCCATACACTGACCCAGCATTCTTGTCTGTGGGATCCACTGGGTCGAACAACAGAACCATGGCTCCTTACTGGGGAGACACCTAACGAAGGAAACACTGCTCCAAGTGACAAGAACACTCAGTTTCCTTTTGTGAGGTCAGCTTGTGACCAGCCCTTCCACAATAGATGAACAAGGCTCTGATTTACCAAGTCCTAGCTCACTCCATGCGCTCCCAAGACCCTACAGTAGCGTAGACAAAACAGAACGAGATGCAGAGCTCAGAACGTGCTGTGAGGGTCCATGGCTCAACACCTCAGGAGCATTGCTGCACCAGCCTCCAGACCCAGTTTCTTTAAGACTTTGCCTGTCCAATAGCTTCCAACACAGCACTAATTTTGAACACAGAGTTATTGGTATACAAACTTTGCAATTGTGGCTTAGTCTCCTCCTCACACCTCCTCCCTTTCCTCCTCAGCTCCTGTGAAGATAAATCATGAAGTGCCTGACCAGGACAAATCTGGCCCAAAGACAGAAAAGAGCGGCAGAGAGGAGACCCCAGAGCCATCTCTCAGCAACCCTCAAGGAGACCACAGCATCATCACGCTGTACCAGGAAGGCTTCGTGTTGGGGAGATACTACTGGGAAGTGGATGTCGGGGACACTGAGGAATGGACACTAGGTGTTTATGAAATGTACACTCAGGATGCACCATCCAAAGAATCACTGAAGAAATTCAGAGTCTTGAAGAAGAAGGGAGATGAATACAGGGCTCTTACCTTCTCTTCCCAAAACGTTTCTCTGGAAGAGCCTCTGCTGCTGGAGACGTGATCACTGGAGATCACAATCTTCCTGGATCAAGAGGACAATGACCTTTCTTTCTACAACATGACTGATGAGACCCACATCTTCTCCTTCGCCCAGGCCAGTTTCTTGGGATCGCTCTATCCTTACGTCACGCGTCACGCCAGGGACCACTCTCCCTCACACAGTCCCAAGTGAGGCACACAGAGAACTCAGTGGGTGGCTGCCGCAGCATGTCTGCAAACTCCAGGACTCTGGTCCTCCTGGGCAGGCACAGGGAACTCTGGCTGGGAGGCGCCTTGCCTGAGACTCCATGAGCCTCTGTGGCCAGTTTCTGGACATCAAGATTCTCAGACTATCAGCAGAAAAGACAGCTGTGCTTTGCATGGTGTTACGATTGTTAACAGTCTTCCTTTTTGATATAAATCTGTTTAATCATTCCTAAGATGATTGAATCCACGATTTCCTGAATCTGATAGCACATCTGCTCCCTGCTTATACACCAGTGGCATTAGTAGTAGTAGTAGTAGTAGTGGTAATTCTCGTGCACGTGTCTACTGTACTCTGGGCACATTCCCCCAGTGTTATTCTCTGTTTATATCTAATGTACCGGAGACCAGCAATGTGCTGGTCAGGTTTTTGTCAATTTGACTCAAACTGACTTGAGAAGAGGAAACCTCAGTTGAGAAATGGCCTCCTTCAGATTGATCTGTAGGAAGTCTATACGACATCCTCCTGACTGATGGTTGATGTGGGAAGACCCAGCCCACTGTAGATGGTTCCACCCCTGGGCAGGTGGTCCTGGGGTGAATAAGAAAGCAAACTGAGCAAGCCTTGGGGAGCAAGCTGGTAAGCAGAGTTCCTTTGTGGCCTCTGTAGCAGCTACTGCCTCCAGGTTTCAGTCCTGAGTTCCAGCCCTGACTTCCCTCAGTGATGGAGTGCGATCTGAGAGTCCTGAGATGAAACCCTTTCCTCTCCAAGCGGCTCTTGGTCATTGTCTTAGTCATGCTCTACTGCTGTGAAGAGACACCATGATCGGAACTCTCATAAAAGAAAGCATTTATTTGGGGGCTTGCTTACAGTTTCAGAGGCTTAGTCCACTATCACTGTGGCGGAGAGCATGGCAGCAGACATGGTGCTGGGGCAGCAGCTGAGAGCTACATCCTGGTCTGCAGGCCTCCAGAGGCAGAACTTGGGCTTTGGAAACTTCAAAGCCCACCGCAGTGACAGAGTTCCTCCAACAAGGCCACGCCTCTTAATCCTTCTAATCCTTTCAAACAGTGCCACTCTGTGGTGTCTAAGCATCCAAACATGTGAGCCTACAGGGCCATTCTTGTCCTAACCACCTCAGTCACAGTCTTTACCACAGCCACAGAGAACCAAACCAGGACAACCAGTTTTCTTAACTGGGTTACTACCAAATAACCCAACAAAGGTAAACCTTGCCATTGTAAAATTATAACAACTATAATATTAGATTTCACGTAAGTAGAATTATTCCATGGGCTTACTGAACAAGTGTTTAACACTCTGTATCTGTGCATGTTTCATAAAGAACTGGCAATGAGCAACTTCTGTACAGGTGCCACTGAGCACAGCGCTAAGACAGCCTTCAAAGGGATTAAAAATTAAACAACCCCATAATTCCCAAAGTGAAAACAGAAGCTCTGTATTAAAATGTTAAGAATGATCTTTCAAATGTTGGTAGATAAGAAACAAGCTCTAACTTGATAGCAATCTGAGCTACATCTTTAATGCTGTGGTGGTTTCAGTAGAGAATAGCTGTCAATCAAAATCCAGTTCTGATAACCATGGTGACATCAGTGCCATGAGCATCTGGAGAATCCGAATGGGTGAGAAATGTTGAGGTATTGCTCTTGTTGGAGGTGGAAAGAGAAATTTATCATGTTGCCTAAGCTGTTAATAAGGGAAATAGGAGCTGGAGAAATGGCTTGGAGGTCAAGGGCGCGTGCCCCTGCCGTTCTTGCAGAGGATTTGAGAT